ATTCATTCATTCGAGAACAACAATGGCATAAAAAACTATGCAGATGAAAAAGTATATGTTAAAATGAAATACCAAAAATCATAGCACCCATATGAATGAACTGAACATTTTGATTTATGAAGCGTTGACTCAGCACAAACATGGTTTAATAGAAATATATGCTGATAAACGTACGGGAGAGAAAAGGATCATCTTGAACGTGCAATAGCATTCACACAGCTAGCTGTTAGCTCATCGGTCTGGYCAAAACTAAAGTTTCCTCTCAAACCAAGGCCGATCAAAGAGCCATCTACAACAGGTAAGATATTATTTRTGACCTTTCCACAGAATTACACTTTAAAATCTCTGAAGTACAGTTTAAAAATCGTGTATGTGGGTTGAAGCTCACCTCGGACAAAAACATAAACACTGGCAGCGGTTGTGCCATCAATGGCCTTTCTGTCTTTGTAATAACAGCGGTAGTAGCCCGTGTCTGTGCCCAGCGCCCCGTTCAGGACCAACGTCTTGCAGTACGGCCTCCCCGTTTGTCCGGGACATTCGCTGATTGAGACGGCCCTCTGCTCGGGTGGGCTGGTGGTCTGCAGTCGGGCCTGACGGTCTGAGAGCTCCTGTCCAACCAGCTCCTTATCGGGCCAAACCCAGGCCAGAGTGTGTTCCCCCCTGAGGAGAAATCGGTGAAAAGAYAACATTTTATACCATTTATTTTAMAAAGCAACTAATTACACTTTAATTYTGATCTTTTTCACAGTCCCTGTTTAAATCCACACCCAGCTGTCTGTCACATAAACTCACTTATCTTAACCTGGAGGCATTAAGAGCCCAGACTGGAATCAGACCCTGAAAACTGATCACGCTGCTTTCAACATCTGCACACGCCTGGTGCAAATGGACAAAATTTGCACTCRGAGCCAAATCTGATGCCTGCATATAGCTTAAAAATGACAGAGCTCAGTGAAAATACGCTGTGGGTAATTTTCCAGAGCCACGTAAATAACACGTCTGTCTGAAAGCAGGAAAACAGCATACTGTTAGGTAGAAAGTGACAAAAATGAAACAGATATTCAGTCTCAAGAGGGCCTCGGCGCTGCGGCCACTGAAGGTTAACTTGCAAACAACAACTKAGGACCGGAGCTGGAGAAAATCCAAAAGTACCAACAGCTTTCCAAAGATAGCAAAGAGTTTTTTATTTGTTCTTTGGAAAACAAAACGGTTAATAGAGTGACAACTTGGCTGCAGAAAGCAAACCTGAGATTTCACAAAAATAAATGATTGTTATTTTGAGCAATATTTCTCTCACACAGTTGCAATTTAAATCAGAACTTTGAAAGGAAAATAAAAAMCAGCTCTGCGTGGCAAAGGACATAGAGATTTTTATACAGACGCAACATAAAATCCTCTGGTTTAAACTTTCTTCTCAGAAACACTTCTTTAGGTTCAGGTCTTAAACCAGAGGTCTGAGGTTTAGGTTTCTCTCAGACTGAGACCTACTGGACAGAAATCTTTAGTTTTGGTTTCTCTGCTGCCAGTCTCCCCAATCTGAGGATCAAATATTCACCTTTGGCATATTTTTATGAAAAAAAAAACATCTTGAGACATCTTGTTATGGAACCAAAATCTTTAAAGCTGATAGAAACTAAATGCTTACCAAGAAATTATTACAATAACTTACATGAAAATCCCACTGAGATGTTAAAGAGAACCGATTATTAAAACCAAATTTAGCTGTTTTGTTGTGAAGTCCAGTGGAAAAGTTATGATTCTTCACAAATACTATTTTTCTTGTTTAGAAAAATCACAGTTTAGAGAAATGGAGTTTAAATCTGACAAGAGTGACAAATTAAGGATCAGTTAGATTAAGGACTAAAGTAGATTAATATCCTATTTAAACAACTCCAGTCCAAGGGTGCATTAGCAGCTAGCTGTAGCACCTCTGGTGTATTTCCAACAGAAATATTCATGCCAAAATAATCATGTAATCTGAATTTACCTCCAAAAAGAAAAAAAATTGTATAGGTCTTCTGGACGGGTTCTTCTCTAATGAAACGTTTCGTYTCTCCTCCAAGAGACTTCTTCAGTCTGAGAGTTTCAGGCAAAATTCAGGCTTTTAAGC